CTTTTCATATCATTGTAGTGCATGTTTTAATATTTTAAGCTAGTAAAACCAGTAAATTGATAATTGAGGTTGTTTTTCCAGCATTTTCGGGTGGAATCTTAACCAGTCCATGTAAAAGTTGAAAAAGTCGTGTAAAAATTGAAAACGCCGTGGAAGGGTCTATTTGTCACATCAATAATAGTTTATCCATATAAAAGTTTACTTTCTAAACCTTTTATTTTAAAATGCTTGGTCATTCTTTTCCACCAGAGTGCTCAAAATTTTTGAGCATTGCCATGGACAAAATGACAAGAAGGACGACCTTCCATCAGAGTGCTCAAAATTTTTGAGCATTGCCGTGGACAGAATGACAAGCATGAACTTCCATCAGAGTGCTCAAAATTTTTGAGCATTGCCGTGGACAGAATGACAAGCATGACCTTCCATCAGAGTGCTCAAAATTTTTGAGCATTGCCGTGGACTGAACGGATGACAAGAAGCATACCTTCCACCAGAATGCTTCATTTCCTTTCAATAAAAACTACTCAAATGAAATTTCAAATGACATGATGGAGATAATACCTAAAGTTTTTGTTTCAAAATGAAGTGCAAAAAGATTTGTACTGAAAAATCAACCAAAAAAATCAATTCGATTGCCATGGYTAACATAAACCTGCGATAATGATAACAAATCGCTGCTAATTTTCTAAAATGGAAAATCCCAAAATACTTTGGAACCGGTTATGTGAAAATAACATGTTATTTTCACATGTGAAAATATCAGTTTTTCGAAAAGGCGAAATATAGGTATTTTATGGATAATTATATGATAAAATTATTTATCCAACTATTTAAGTTAGAGTACCAATAACGAAGGCCTGGAGCGAGTATAAATATCCAGCATCTTCTTAAAAATATTCGTTCACGGCTCTTTCTCGATCAAGCTCATAGGATAATTGATACACTTTTCTTAGTTGTCAAAGGGAAGGAAAAACGAACAAACAAAGAAAATAAATGAAAATTCTCAAAGATTCTTATAAAGAAAGCAAAATAATGATTTAAGGACTGTGCCTACTATTGTCGACGCGCACACGTACTGCGCATCTACATTCGAGGAACTTTAAAATTCATTACTCGAATGCACGAAACAAAACTTTTTTTAATAGAAAGTTAAAGCAGAAAACTATTTTAAGTAACTCAGGCTTGTCAAAGAGATAATTTGGTAAGGTTTAAGTATTATTGACAAAGAATCATAACATTTCTGGGCAAAAGTTATGAAAAAATGGGAGACTCATAGTTCTAAAAAGCTAAATGCTTTTTACCGTTTCTTTGGATTTAATCCTATAAAACGTGAATAAAAACAAACAACAAATACATAAGAAATTGAAAATTGAAAATTTATTAATATCTAGGTGTGTAATAATAGTTTTGGAAATCTTTTTTTGGTCGCTTTTAAACACTTTCATTATGAAAGTCTTTTACTCTGGAGTTTTCAATCTAAAAAATCATCTTATTACGTACCAAATATCATTTCAAACCCAATAGACTTCCTGGAACTATAAAGCTTATACATGTAGAGTTTTTCTCTGTGTTTTTTGCTTGCATGGCAGGGGACAGCATGTTTAGCTTGACGTGCAAACGCGCCGAAAACAGAGTTTGTCACGCCGTTTTGTATGCTGTGTAACGCGTGTCACGCATTCGGCATAAGATTTATCCGTAATAATGCTCTTTAAAAATTCGTATCTCTTAAAAACGCCTGGATATCCCTTTTTTTTCTATCTTTTTTTCTCTCGTTTAAATGATAGAATAAATGCCAAATTAGCCTTTTGAAATGAAATTGACAAAAATAATTGCCTTTGAAAAGAAAAACTATGTACTTACTGATCAAAAATAGGTAGAATTGAGCATATTTTATTAAAGAAACAAAGTGTCAGTCATTTAGGACGATTTAAATTATAAGTTTCTCAAAATCATTTGAAATTTTTTACCCTGGTGTTAGTTAAATCGTTAAATCATGACGTCATCACTTTTTAACGATTTTTAAGCCTTATTATTTCTTTTAAATGCATGGTGACCCCTACTTTTCTAACCAGAATTTGACAACCCTTTGATAGGTTAAAACAATTCACATAGTCATTTAAAAAATAATTGATTCTCAATTAGTAGGCACCGTCCTTAATAGATTATAATGATTTGGTGATCTTTAAAGTCATTACTGCGATTTTCATAAATATGCCAACCCTGTGTCTCCGAGTTGCAGGCTGAAATTTGTTTTTTGTTGCTGCCGCAAGTCAAAAATATGAAAGCGGGCACCGTCTAATTAGGTTTGATTCACCAAATTTGAGCGTGCAGCTCGCAGACGAAGAGTTTGCATGTTTATGAAAATTGCAGTAAGTGCTAAGCAACGTTAAATGCATTTCTTTTTTTTTTTCATTTCATAGCGTACTTTCAGGGAACAAGCTAACAGTGATTCATCCCAATCGCTTCCTTTTTCTGAAACTTCTCTTAACCTTGTAAGAAATATTTTTTTAAATATTACTTCTTACTTTATTATGCAAACACTCGAACCATGAACACTTCAAGTTAATTTTTTACATTTTCTGAAGCATCCCATCAGAGGTCAGTTTTTACCCGAGGCTCTGACATTTTTTTCACGCGATCCCAGAAACTCTTGTGATAGTGTTGCCGTAAAAGTTCTTAAAAATTTATACTATAATGTACATCAATTATTTTATAACAGATAGTTCGTCAATAAACAACATTTTTGTTTTATTTTTTGAAATTTTTGAAACGGTTTGCACTTTTAGCTGCAGTTTTGCATACTATCACGTTTTGATATGTGATTAGCAGTTCATCTGTTCACATTAGATTACATGAAGTGAGCTAAAAATAAAACATCTAAGACTTTCTGCCGCTTGTTGTGATTGGATGGCGCATAAAAAATGCTTGATTCCATTGTTTCTACAGAGATTTGATTGGATAGTTATGAATGAAGTTTTAAAAAAAAGTGTTCATGCTTTATTAAGTGTTCATGTTTCAAGTGTCATTACTGTAACAGATGATATACACTTACGTATTTTTCTAGCTTGTTATAACGTTTGTTTGTTCCTTTGATATAAAAATCGGTATAGCCGTGGAACAGACATCTTTAGCTTAGGCTATATTCTTTTATGTACTTGTTGGAGTATTATTTACTTGTTGACGGGAAGACACCTGTGTACCTGTGTATACAACTCAAATAAAAAAAAATTATTCTCAAGAGCAACATGTGTTCTGAATTGGGAAAGCATTATGCTTAGATAAAGAGGTCAATTCCTGTGTAAAAAGAATTTTAGAACATATGACAATATCAATTGAAAGACAGAGCGCGATAGTAAGAATAGGCAGAATTGAACGCCATAACCCCCTCTCCCTATCGAATGTTTCCCACCCTGCAACATCATGATAACGAAAGAATATACGCAATGCGTGAATAAAGGTTAGGCCAAAGGGAGAAGAGAGAGAGTTTCGAGTTAGATAAAAGGGATTGAGAAAAAAAAAAAAAAAAAAAAAAAAAAGGGAAAAAAAAAAAAAAAAAAAAAAAAAAAACGTTGTGGAAAACGTACGAACTAAGCATTATATGGTGTCACAATGTTAGAGGATAATAAAGGACCTATCACAGCTAAAGCATTTACAAGCGGATCATCGACTTGGGATGTCTCTTTACAACTTTTATTGGGTCATATCAATTAGGAAGGAAAATTACAGAACCAACATGCTGCCCAAAGCGGAAAGTGCGAACGGGAAGCAAGATTGGTAGCCTTTCCCCATTCGACGTTTCGACGTTTATTACTTTAATTCAAGTCCAACTCGAAGACAAAGACGACGACGATAGTAGTGATGAATTTATGGAAAGAACAATTGTGTTTGTAGAAAAAGCGTTATATATGAGTGGTACAAAGTAAATAATCTTGTAGAGATAGAACACGGGAGTGTTGACAAATATATAACAGCCCTTAGATCGCAAGCATGCTTCAACATATGATATTGGTATTTTGAAAGATGAAAGTGTGTAGAATTAGAAGCGGCAGTATCCGTACAAAATTAACTTAAAAAGACCAAAAATCACTCTAGAAATAAGCACAAGTCTTGCTAGAAGCGTCGTGACTTCAAAAAGACAAATAAATTTCAAAACAATTTCAAAAGGCGACGCAGAGGCCGAGAATACAAAAAATACAAGAGCGCTAGGGAAGACAGAATGTCAAAAACAAAAACATTTTACTCGCTGTTACAAGTATAATGTCTCAAGCTCAAATAGAGTGATTGAAACGTGCGACGACAGCTCATCTGAGTGAGATTTATTTGAAATAATGCCAGGTGAGACGGACCATGAAAACAATATGTATGGCAAGGAAGTGAATGATAATTTTGAGGAAAAAAATGTTCGCCACTATGCTAACTGAAAACAAACAAGTTGTAGTGAGGATTGATTTTAGCGCCTCTTACAATATTCTCTCAAAAACATTTCTTGCCCGCAAATCCCTCTCTATACCAGGAACTAACAAGGAACTAGTGACATTTTGAAAAAGCATAATAAAAGCTATTGGCGTTTCAAAAGGCAGCTTTAATATTAATCAACCGGCATTAATAATAATAATAATAATAATAATAATAATAATAATGATAATAATAATAACAACAATAATAATAATTGAATAAT